GTATGGCAAAGCCAGTATTTAAAAAAATATTATATATATATTAAATATTTATAAAATTTTATAACTTTCATATACTAACTTACTTATTATAAAAGAAAACTATTTCTCTAGATATAAATTAGAAATTGATATTTCACTTATTTATTGAATTGAATTAATCATAGGTTAATAAAATCATTATCTACAGATCATTATTGTAAATTATTCTAAGTTTTGTTTGCAGTTTAAAAACCAAATTATAATTAAATAAAGTTTTTAATAGATTAAATTTGTGATATTAACTTTAACTCTTTTTATTTTAATTAAATTTAAGACAATTGGATTTTCAAATAGTATAATATAAAAGATCTTAATAAATAAATCAAAAAATTTAAATCTCGATCAAAAAAAAAATTTTTTGAAATATTTTATTAAAAAAAGATTTACATTATTCCCTTTTCCTTTTCCAAAACCAAATTTAAAAGATTTTTAATGCAAAAGTTTTTAACTTTTTATTTCTGAAATCTAAATAGAAATACAGCATAATAAAAAATAATTAAATTTATAATGTACTGTATAGTAAAAAATGGAATAATTAATTGTCCAATTAACAATAACAATTTTAATAATACTATAGTTAATTTCTAAATTTTTATATTCTAAACAGATTATGATTTTAAATAATTGAACTTATAGAAAGCATCAATTGGTATTTATTAAAATAAAATTAAAAAAAATTTTTTATACTGTATATTAATATACAGTATATACACGCATTGAATGTTCAGACGAAATACGTGATATGCGAAATTACTAATTAGGAATTATCAAAAAACCTCATAATCTGCTGCTAATCCCAACCGACATTTCCTTTAGCAGTTCACCTAAAAGTGGAATTTACAAATAAAATAATTGGCATGAAAGAAGTATCAACTTTAAAATTATTTCGAATATACTGTGTATACAAATATTACCTTGGTTGTCAATCTCGTTGAACTTGGACCAATCGCTAGCGATTGGAGCATAAAGAACACGGGGATCTACTCCCAATGAGTCAACGATCTGGATGCTTGATGGTGCCAAATCCGCCACTATTTCTCTTATCAAAGGCTGTACCTTGGCTGCGGATTCTACTAAAATCAAATGATTCATGATGTACCAAGCCAGGTTTGTGTCAATCAGACAAAGCGCGTAAAGTTGACCAATGGTGATAAGGAGTTTTCTAAGAACGATCAGATGGCAAGCTTGTCGAGATGTACAGTATACGATGTTTGTTTGAATGAACAGCGGTTTGCATAAGGGATGACTTACCTTGCACCGCCTTTAAGTTTTTCAGTTGCAATTATTAATTGCTCCAAAACTATTCTCTCACCGTGAGCCTTAGCCAAGGCTTGAACGGTGTCGGATTCATGTAACATCCAAGTTTCAAAGATGGATACATCCAAGGATTTTTTCGCCATTTTCGTTCCTAACTGGAAATTATTGTGCTCGATTATTAAGAATTGTGTTCGAGGATAAACAAGAACAGAAAGAAGTTTCTCACGCAGTCAGTTTTAGTACCTCTTTGATCAAAGCTTGCTCTCTCAATTGTAATAACTTTAATTGATTATTCAAGTCTGACACATCCCATTTTTGTGAATTTTTAGCATCTGGAACTTGAGGCAGCTTCACTTTTCCTGATTGGACATCAGCCAACAATTCCTTGGAAACTGATATTTAACATCAAATTATTCGAGGGAATTTTGGTGCGATGGAATGGACGGCAAGTAAAAATAACTGAGGATCGTACCTTTTTGCATCAAAACACTATTGTCACCCTCTGCGGTCATGCCAGCATGAGAGAAGCCAATGAAACTTCCAAATCTATTGATACTCAAATAACCTTGACCTCCACACCTTTCTCTACACACAGTCGCAACACGTTCAAAGTTCCACGTGACCAATGGTTTGATCACACAGCAAAGTCTAACGACCTCATTGCTATCTTTTTCAGTCTGATATGGGAAATGATATGTTTTTCTAGGGTTAGTCAAGGCTTTTGTCACATTATCTATCAATATCTTTCCCCTATTTGATCAATCCTTACCCCTGCAGCCCACCTAACTTTACAATAGTTCAGCCCAATGTTCAGAGCGATGGTTGACGCCAAGAGCGGTAATAAAGCACGCTGCTGAAGTTGATATGCCAATATTGGAGTGTCGCTGGCGAACAAACAAGTTATTCAGATACGATGCCAGTAAAAGATAATTAATCTACGAGTGTGATCCAAGATACCTTTTCCCACTTGGCCCAACTGCCAACCTGGAATTTGCATAGCGAAAGGCGATAGACAAACATGCTTTGAGGAATCGTGTGAATAAAAGGATAAAACTTTAGACCATATAATTCGATAACAAAGATGTGATGTACAGTTTCTAACGGCGAATCACCTTTGGTGCCTCCTAAATTTAATGATGCGATTGCCAGTCTTCCCGAAAGCAATTGGTTTGCAACTTTCAGAAACCGTCTGCAAAGGCGTGCGTGACATTTGGAATAAATTTCGAATAGAAAATGACATTCGAAACAACAACAATGCAAAGGCGAGGGAGGGGCTTACCCACGACGACTGCCAATGACGCTCGTGAAATTGTTTTTGTCGTCGATGTCGGAATAACGGTTGAGCAGATTTTCAACCGGTACTCGGACCTGATATTTGAAAAAAACATAAAACGAGTTAAAAAAAGAGTCCCGGATTGATCACAAGGAAAGAATTCAAGATAACTTACATCGTTGAACCATAATTTTCCTTATACGGTAAACCATTTCGTGAATTTTTTGCATTAAATTAAAAACAAAATTTTCGCCTTATCGTACTATATTCAGTAATAAAATACCATTATCTACACCGTTACACTCAAACTTCACTCCCATGTCCTCAATGGTGACTCCTTTAGATGGTACCATGCTGTCAATAAGATTAATGCATGTAAATAAAAAAGGCATATGATTTCCCAAAGAGATGATTAATGAAATGATCGTACTTTTCTTCACGAATCCTTACAAGAATGGCATGTATTCCCTCATTCTTTCCTCGAATTATTGTTTGAGCAAAGACAACCGCCCACTTTGCGTGAACTGCTGACTAAAAAAAAAAAAAAAAAAAAAATTGATAGAACGATAAGAATTCAATCGGAAGGTTTCCAAAAAATGGGAATTCCTCAAGTGCATTACATTCGTTATCCAATACTTTTGAGCCAGAGGGGTCGGAGTGTTGATGATGAATTCACGTTTTTCTTCATCGTAAATTGCCGTGGTTTCCATCTCAACCGCATTGTTACCATAACCAAGTTCGGTTAAAGCAAAGCAGCCGATGTTAGAGAGGTCATCAACCCCGTTAAGGAGACCACGATGACGCTCGGTCCCAAGCTTGATCACTGTGCCGCCGAAAAGATTCCACTGAACGGTCATCTGGTTCGGGTTGATGTGATAACGTCAATAAACGAAACGATTTCATGTTTCGAAAACGAAAGAGAGTTATCATCTCTTTCATTTACCTTCGTTCCCATGGAACCATCCACCATCCCGGCAACCTCATGAACTTTTATTGATATAAATTCAAATCAGATTCTTTCGATTGCTACCATTGAAAAAAAAAAGAAAAAAAGAAAAAAAGAAAAAGAAAAAAACTTTGCCGGAATTGCTTTTTTCATTCATAAAAAATTGACAAACCAGCAAAAATGTTCAGCGGGTTTTTTTCGAAATCAAAAACCGATATAAATTTTTTGTCGGCTATCTTTTTTAATCTTTGCAAGGCAATTTCTCGTTGAAACTCGAGCGAAACATTATAACGAGGAATGTATATGGGATCTTCTGCGACAAAATCGAGTATCGCTTTACGGTTTTCATGATTATCATGTTCTAAAAGATGTCGCAGTTCGGCGAAAATTTCTAACTTGTAGTGAGACATCCTTTTTAGACTTTAAGTCATATGTGCACTCGTATGTACATACTTATATACATGAGGTCAGTTGTGCATCTGTGGGGCTAGGTACATTGCATTTTGTTCTCTCAAACAATTGAGATTGTCACCAACATGTACGTAGCCTTTGGTACTCGTGATCAAAAGAAATGTGCATATACTTAAAATGAAAAATTTTAATACATCACATCACATCCGTTACGTAATATAAAATAAAGCTACAGTACCAACCATTTTTGTTAGAGTTAATTCGATATAAATGGTAGAGGTCCGGGAAAGAGAAGATTTGGATCACGGCCCGCAACTACGTCCGAATGCATATTTCGAACAAGGTAATTTTGTCGATATCACGTTTGCCAAATCATGATGATCGAATGATATCACATCCTAATTAAAGTAACGTATCAACCATATTTACAACGATCGTTTGCATTTTCTTTTAGTGATAAGCACATATAAAATAGTTTCAAATTGATATGGAAGATTCTGGTGAAAAGGGTGAGCATGGAGTCTATTGATTTTATATGGATGAGGAGCGCGTGTTTAATTTATATTGGATATGAGAGGTGTTAAAGATCACCTTTTTTCTGTCACCTGTGAAATTAAATATAGAAAATATGGAGCACGAAGATGAGATGACGCGTCCCGACGTTAAAAACATTGCCACGAATTCAATTCCCAAAGCTCGATCTCCCGCGGAATCAAACGAGGAACAATCCCGGATCGATTTAAATGAGGAACAATCGAATGCTGAAGTGAAAGAGCAACCGGAAAACATAAACATGGAGCAACCGCGGATTTTTTCATTCTTGATCCTCGCCGCTAAACATGAAGATCTCGCCAATTCTGCAAACACAACGGAAACCACTGAATCAATTAACTCGGATGATTCTGAAATTCAGATTGGGTCAACCAAAAAGATCATTAAAAAAGTGGCATCAAAAAAGCGTACCAATCTTAAAAATCGGCCTAGGTCGGATAAGCCAATTAAATTCGATGATCCGGGAGATGAACCGTGCACCTATGAGAAGTACCTTAAGATGCATCTTCCCCGAATCAGAAAAGATCATAATCAGTTGACCGAAAAAGAGGCCCTCGGCGTTGTTAAACAACTTTGGAACATATCGTGAGTTCTTTGATTTTCAGGACGGATGTGGCATTAATTACTATTCACTTTTACACCGCTAATACCATACCATACCACCATCATACATCATAGATCCTTAAATCCTCTGAACCGACGAGGATAACAACCAATTGAATGTTAACTTAGATTTTGTCACATCCAAAGGAATATAAGCCTTCTTAAAAACGAACATATATACAGCATGTATACATATATACTGTATATATATATGCATTTGATTTTTTGTGAAAGCAATGCACGCAAAATAAATAAAGAGGTACCGAAACATGATCGGTGACGAGCGATTTGCACATTTTCAGTTTCCACATTGAATTGTAGCCTAAAGAATGTGTGAGAAATGGTTAATCATAATTGAAAAGGTGAAAAATATTTCCACGTTTATAAGGTGCCGCGTACCGAGCGGTCTTTCGCCACGCAATATTTTCGCGAAGCAAACCATTCTTCCAAATCTATAAATGCCTTGTTGTGAATATAAACCCGGTTCATCGAAAATTGCACTATTCGTAAGGTGCGAAAACATGGTGTTTGCTCGTCTGAACCTTTGAGTTAACGTGGTCCTGAATTGATGCATGCGAGACACGATTCCGAAAATAACGAACGATGTTAATTGAAAAGAAGCTTAATGATTCTACATTCAAATTTACATCGAACGGTCGTTATTTTTCATGTGACTTATTATTCAAAATAGAGTGCTTACGTGGGAATAAGCGGTGGGGCATAGATTTATACGGAACAATAACGAAATACAAAGCTATAATAAGCTTCTTTTTTTTTTTTGTCTACTTGATATATGCGTTCCTTGGAATACAATCTTTTTGATTCAACAGAATGCAAACTATTTGAAATACAAATAAAACCATCAGCGGCAGCTTAATTGGATTGAGTCTTAAATACATATATCAAGGTGAACATCAGAATATAGTAATTCGAAATCAATACTATGGACGAGTAATGTCCATCATATTTCTTGCGCTGCGCGGGGACAGAAAATAATTGAAATAAATCAGAGGCGAGATCATGAAGGGAAATTCGAAAGTAATCAATCTCGATTTACCTCATTTCCCTCGTCAACTAATTCAGTCAACTCATGTAAGAATTCGCGTTTGAACTCTTCAACCTCGATTTCTTGTTTGGTCTCGTCGATGGGTAAACAGCTTGCATCGTAACGAAGCCGATACTTTACATTGATATTTTGATGCCTGCTATTTTGGTGTTGTTTGCCTTGACCCTCGGCGGTGTAGTTTTTCCGATAAATTGATGGTGTTTGCTCATTTAACTCCATATTCAACCATTCCGACTATATATATCAATAAGTTGGGTAAGCAATTGAAGAGCTTGAATTTGCGCCTTTTTTTTTTTTTTTTTTGTGCACGACTCACGATTTGATTGAACGCCGTCATATCTCCTCTTTCGAATAGACATTCTGAGAAAAGAGTGGGTTAGGGATTCTGTGAAAATGGTTATTATAATCATAAAGCACATGATGAACTTTCAGGGGGACAAGGATACTGCAAATGTATTGCAACATTTCGACATTAAATATAAATTTCGTAAAAATAGATGCATGTAACGTCCCATTTTCAATAGCCAAGTCGATCAATTCCTTCGTCGCACCAATACAACTATCGCCCCCTTCGATGAACTGATGTAATACTACGGCAGCCATCAACTCTAAACAAACGTGTCCAAAATTTACTTCAATTAATAATAAATAATGATTATGGTAATAATAATTATAATGATGAACTAATCGGATACCTTTTCTGGACAAAAAACAGCTAATCATCCGCTTTATGGTGTGCAAAGGCCATAACGAATCGAGTCCTTTCAGGAACATATACATGCGCGTAGCACGGGCGATGGCATTCAAGATGTGCCTGCAAAAAAAGCTGTGAGAAACCATGTAATGCACCCGGTGCATTCCGATATACTATCAAGCGTGTGGTACCTCAAACACATGGTGGGCCGACCTTGCAAATAATATATATCCGCCATTCGAATATCATAAACATATTTCGGTTCGTTGTATTTCTCCGACACGGTACACAGATACAAGAGATACGGCGTTATATCATAACGAAGGGGTCTCGCGCGCCCGTCGAGGATGCTTGCAATTGCATAAAATCTTTGAAAAATAAATGCAAATGTCTCAATTTTCTATTCGCCAGACACATCGTGTACAAAATTACGTGGAATAGAACAACTCACGTTTCTCGAGGCCAGAATCTCTCTGCAGGTTTGCTCGACATCATAATAATCATAAGTGGACTGTATAATCGGTGATTTAATTGCTTTCACCGCGGAGACTCAATTAACACGAGACTTTTTGATAAAAATGACGGCGACTCTTGAAACATTCAGGGGTCACAATAATTACCAATTGTTCTCTACGCGCCTTTCGGTTGCATAGATGTCCAGCAATCAAACTTGCAACGATGTGATGAGCCCACCTTATATTTTTGAGCTTCGCCAATGTATCAAGTGCGAGCTCCTATGAATAATAAAAAATTTGAGGATGATAATTGTATAAAGATAATAAAATAAAAGCTGTAATATATTACAATGTTTTTGGCCTCTGCCGAATCCATGGACTTGATTAACCGACGTGCTGAAGTTTGGAGTTTCTTCAACTCTTCGGTGTCCATGCGAAGAATTATGTCGAACTCTCTTCGATGAGTTTCCTCAAGATCATTCTCGGGACTATGTATAACTATCATAAAAGGAACCTTCGAGTTAAAATACGCGCATACTGCAAAAAAAAAAAAAAAAAAAAAAAAAAAAAAAAAAAAAAAAAAAAAAAAAAAAAAAAAAAAAAAAAAAAAAAAAAAAACACAATAATAGTCACATTGAGAATATCGCGAATATATTTTGAATACTTCAATGCATGCAATCATGAATTTGCAAAAACGATAATGCGACAAGTGTAAACCTGAAATTGCAGGAAAAGGTGATTTATTTAATGGATTCTTTAAACAATTGATTAATTAAAGGTAACCCACTCTTCCATTCATTTTTCGATCTGGAATTAAGCAAATTCGCCAGAAAGTTTTTAAGAAATCCCCAACGACAATGATCCAACATTACAGATGTTATATTTTCCTAAATTGTAATACAAATTTAGCTATTAATTGGGACCATCGACGGTTTCAAATTAAACGAAATCGCACTTACCAAGACTGATAAACATAATAGCACGCCATTATTCAGTGCATCATGAATCATCCTTTCTATATGTGCCAATCCTTCATCTTCTATCCTATCATTGCTGAACGAGGATTTAATGAATCCCTCTATGTTCTTCCACTGAACTTGGTCGTCATTAACAGTACTATTAACAAATTTGCGTGGGCCCATAAAGCTCGAAAAGCTGATCTAAAATCACACAATAATCGATGTTAGAACTAAAATCTAATATTTATGAATTCCGAGGATATCGCCACCATATAAATAACCCATTTTACCGATCGATCCTTTCGAGCATTTTGATTAACGGTGGTAAATATTGAAGGGAGGTTTGTAACTTGCGGAAGAGGGAGTGGCTATTTAAAACGAAAATGATTCATAAGCTACCGGTCAACAACAAATCAACTTGAATCATTTACAGATGACTTTGACTTTAACCTGAATATTTTTTGGACTTGGAACGTTAAAATTGTCTTGGGCATTCGTAATTTCCTTTCCCTTGTGTAAAAATTTTGATCGTACATTAGGTATGCACTCGAAACCCATCGACGTGCACCGCTGACAAAATGCGTCATTTAGAAGATAGGTGCATTTGATTTTTGCATCATGACAATTCATGCACGCCTTTTTGACCAACGTTTTCATAGATAACTTGTATTCGTCATTTTCGGCCTTGATGATCTTGCAATTCGCATTCAATAAAGCCAACTTTTCAATGATGTGCTCGACCGGGTATTGCACGAATTCCAGGCCTATTGCAAAAATTGCAATCCTTCAGCATACAAATGAATCAATTTGTCATTTGAAATGCCAAAAATACCTTCAATTTTCCTCAGAATCCTCCAAATCTCATCTTTTTCAATTTTTTGCAAAAATAAAGAAATAAATTTTCTTTGATTCTCACTCAAACTTTGACCAAAAAAGTTTCCATACTTTGCTTTCAACAATTCTAAAACTTTTATGATAACCTCCTCCTCAAAATTATCGTGGAGAAATTGAAAACAGTGTGTGGGAATTTCTTTTAGCATCTCATCTTTTCCCAAAAAAAAAAAAAAAACAGATTGATTAGGCGAAACGAATTATTGAATATTACGTCGGTACCAAACTTTTTAATGGCTAAAGCATGATTACCGGCAGATGCATGTGACGGTAATTTGAACGCGTTGTAAAAGGCAATTTTGACAGCCGCGTATTCTTGGCCAAGTTTAATCGCTTCATTAAGCAGAACACGTGTATCGGCCAGTGGTATACTATAGGTCGAATCGTTTGCAAATGATTTGAACAACACCATGAAAACGCTTTCGTAATCTTGACTGTCCGAAAAGTACTCCAGCTGTATAGATGGAGGAAACTTTTTTGTCAGGAAGCCAGTTCCCTTGATTAAGGCTGATAGTCGATTTTTATCTATTGTACTTGTGAAAAGTAAGATGGCCACATTCAGAAATGACTCCAAACTTCCCAATAACTTTATCCAGCGTGACTTTGACTCCTACCAAAATAATTTGTATTCATCGGCAGATTCATAAGGAGCTCCTTCAAGCGCGCACTTGCATAGATATGCGACGGACTTTCCTATGTCCCTAGAGAAGTAATATTCTCCCAGTTCATATGATAGCTGAATCCGAAAGATTGTGTGGATATCATAAGAAAGTGATGTCTTCGGAATGGTTCCTTCCACGTAACCCTGAAAACAACAACGTGAATAACGGTTGCAGATGTTCATCACGAAACATGAAGATGCAATCTAATACCGTGATATCCCTATCCAGCGACTCCAATAGAGCCTCCAAGAACTCGACGGAATTCTCATTGGGATCAAGTTCGGATCCGAAATCGATGATGCTGGACTTTGATCTTATAACCCACCGGTGATATAATACTGAGGGATCATGACGCGGGTCATTATTCTCGGAGCGTCTTTGACGGAGATGCGAAGAGGAATCATTGATGTGAAAAACAATCGACACGATTTAAATAATCTCAAGATATCGATGTACCTCTCGTGGTGATTTAAAACACTGAAAGTGACCAATTGCATATTTTTCGGTAAATTCTGTTCAATGTTTTGCAAGTAAAGGTTTGTCTTGCGTATTATCTGAGAGAACAAAAAAAAAGTTGAATGGAAACCAATAAAATAAAAGAACTTCTAATAGTGAAACATGAGTCGTATACTTTGCAAGCTGCTTTTACCAATTGGTGCTGATGAGTGGATAACGAAAATGAAATTGGATTGTTATCTAATATCGGTACGGGTTCAGGAAAATCACTCTCATCAAGTAAGGTTTTGAGAAGCCGACCGCCGGCAATTTGGTAATCCGACGGATTAATCGACTCGATCTTTTTTTGTAAAGGGAATTGTGGTTAACTCGGATACATGGATGCTCAGATGAGAAGCAAAAATTTACATTTTTATCGAGCTGACCAAGATCCGAACATAATTCGAATGTGTTTTTGGAGAGAAATCCTGGTCGAACAGTAGACATATTATAACTATGACCGAACACCGTAAATTAAGAAGATCCGATACGATTTGCTGACCTTTTATAATTTTTTTTCGAAAATTTTGTGGCCTCTAATTTGCACCCAAATTTGAACCCTCAAATTGCAATCACGTGTTTTAGTTCTTAAAATATAAAACTTAAATTTATCTTTTAATTATACAGTATATAAAAAAATATTATATAATAAAAAAAAATTTTTTTTTGATCAAAAGAATATATAATTATCTTTTAACTAAATATAAATATATTTTTTATTATTGTTTTACTTTTATAATTTTGTAATTTTTTTAAATGGTTTTTTAAAGAATTTTATATATTATAATTTAATTATAAATTATTATTATTATTATTTTTAATTTTCAATTATACAGTATTATATAGATTAATTTTTATTTAAAAGTTTATATAACTATCTACAATATTATCAATTTTTTATATAAAAACAAACTCATTATTATACTAAAGTATTCTAGGTCAAATCTAGGAAATAATATTTTATTTTTTTAAAGGATTTACGGTTGCTTCCAAAAGTTTGAGTCCACTTACTATGTTTTTATTATAAATTTCAACTTTGATAATTTTTAAATC